GCTTTGACATGTGTTTCTATCAAAAAAATCGCTGAATTTGTGGTCTCATCAAAAAATGAAACAAAAACCAGCATCACGAGACGACTACCATGGAATGCAGCATCAGCCAAAGCAACTGGAAAAGCTGTAGGCCACGGAGCGGAAAAAACAAGACTACAAACTGCAGCTGATTCAAATATTTTTAGTATCTTTTAAAGTATTTTTTTTTTCTAAAAGTATTTTTTACCTGATGTGGATTCCAGTCCGAATCGAAAATGATAACCGTATCAGCAGTTTGCAAGTTCAAACCAAGTCCACCGGCTCGAGTCGACAGCATAAAAATGAAATAATCGCTGCCAGGGGCATTGTACAATTCCAACAGCTGCCCGCGTTCATCTGGTTTCGTGCTACCATCCAAACGCAAATATTTGTATTCTAAATTTTCACACGATTATTTCACTCCGAATCACAATCAGTTGATTTTTATGAGAAAAAAAACCAATTTTTGATATATTACCCCGAAAGCCGAGATAATCTTCCATGATAGTCATCAGAGAAGTCATTTGGCAGAACATAAGGACGCGATGACCGGATGCCTTCAATTTTGGCAAAACGCGATCCAACAGCTCAAATTTGCCACTTACACGATAAAGATCTTTCCTGCAACACAGGCACAGGTAAAATCACAGTTTCATGAGATCGAAAACTCTAAAATGAACGCCATAAATGCTGAAATTCTTAGAGGAAAAGAAGAAAAACAAACCCCGAAACATCACATTTCCAGAATTCTCGGCATTCGTCTTCAACATTTTCGAAGAGGAATGGATGATTACAAAGCTTTCGAAGATGCACTACTGTATTCATCAGTGCTCTTCCACCAGCCTGAAAAAAAACATTCCACCAGCAATTATGGAGATTTTTCAGCTATTGAAAACAACTCCAACGCATTTATCCACTGCTGCAGTGGGGCTAAATATGTGTGAGCTGTCAATAAGCTGCCCACCAAATTATGCAAAATCATTCAAAGTAATTTAAAACTTCTCAGTACACATAACCGAAGAACAAGAATATGCAAATTTCTTCAACTACCCAATTTGTTCTCTAAAAAGCATACCAAATCCTATGATCATATTTCTGCTGATAAGTGACGCTCAGCTATAGATTTTCTTGCCATCCCGTTTTTGATTTGTTTCCATCACTTCAGATTCAAAAAAACAGCTGATTCAAAAAAGTTACAAAGGGATTTCAAAGTCAGCCCTCTTCCTCACCCAACCCCCACTCCCGTAATTCGCTACTGAATTGAGGGTTCTGTGATAAGAGTAAAAAAAATCGAGTGAAAACTCAGCAAGGTAAAAACAACAAATGAATGAAATGGACAAACGGACGCGATTCGCGCAGTTTTTATAGACCGCAGGGATGATCTCCCGATCAAAAGATATAACTGAAAGCCTACATTTCAACGGAGAACGAAGAAAGAGAGAGCAGGAATGGAGAAATCGAATCAGTGTTGAACGGAAAGCAACGATGGAAAAACAGGTGATTATAAAAAGCAGAATAAGATGAATGCGAAGCTTAAACGAACATGTTTGCTGTCAATAAGCAGCCCTTTTTGCATATGCTGAT